CATGGATTGTCCTGTGGAAAGGGCACACCCCCCTCCCCCCAAAAACACTCCCCAGGCAACTCTCCTGAGTGTGCACCTTAAAAAAAAAAGAAAGCAGAACTTTTTTGGCCAATGAACTCCTCCATCTCTGCCTGAGCTACCAAGAGAAACGGAAACCTCTCCTCCGTTTATTCTCCATTAGCAGGGAGAAGCTGCTAATAGGCAGAGCGTTTGGGAAGAGCAGTCTGAATTCTGAATAAATCCAAAAATCTATGAAAAGCTAATCGGTCCCTCCTTTCTATTGGCTTCCTCTCAGCAAACCCTATTTTTCACAGCTGCTAATCAATGGGCTTTATTCTGCAGTCACCCATCAGCCCCAGCCAGGCACCCCCTTCAGGTTGACTTACGTCTCCTGCCGTGAATTGAGGGAATCCCGGGCCGTCTGGACGCTGGAAGGAAGGAGAAATCTGTCAGGGTTCCTCATGACAGGCTGCCCCCTCCCCAGGGCCCCAGGGAAACCAGGATCAGGCCTTGTCAGAGGAGTTTGAGGCCCCCTGGGATCCATGATAGACAACCCCAGGTCTTGAACTGCCGTCAGGTGGGACAAAGTCAGCCAGGGCTGAACCTCCACTCCTGCACCAACTTCCTTCAGAGCAAAATCACAAACGCCTCAACCCAGCAGAGGAATAGGCATTCCTAATGACCTCCTTTGTAAAAGAATTGGGGGAGCAAATGCTGCTCTTCTCAGGCACTCTCAGCTTCACACAGAAAAATGGCAGATCCTGGAATTGCTTCCTACATACGTGCTCTTGAAATACATTCACTCACCAACATACGTGCGGTGAAATTGAGACCCATTCTAAACATGTCATTTCTCATGCACAAAAGCCCGCAGAGGCCTTGACCTCTCACTGGGGGGCCTCATCTAGGTCCAGAGGACAACCAGAGCTTTCTCATCAGGTGAACAGATTGCAACCCCCCTTGGCATTTGGGAGGGCGAGGCTGCAGGGAGAGGCAAGATCCTGCTATGAAAAGCAGCACCATTCCCACGAGAGGAACCCCTGCACTGAGCAAAGGGCTCCTACCAGAGAGAGACACCTAGGCTTAACATCTGAGGACAGAACTGGGGGAGAAATGCCTGCAGGATGGGAGCCCCCTCCACTAAGTCTGCTTCTGCTAGACCTGCACATCGCCTGCCAGCAGAAAGACACATGCCCTGGAGCCGTCAGGATAAGAAATGCCCAGGCAGATGGGTTCTAAAGAGCTGGGGGAGTATTTCCGACAAGGCTGCAGAAACGGGGAAGGGGGGCAGGGGGCATAGGCTGGCACCTTGGCAATTTCATTGTGATGGCCAAGGCCAACCCTGACAGAGCCGCATCAGTTCAGGAAGAGGCTGGAGAACAAACAGCTGTGATTTCTGGCATGCAGAACTTCCAGGCAGCCCCCGCCCCAGGGCTGCCCTCCTGGGGGGAAGGCTGAGCCAGCACTGGATAATCAGCCAGGAAGGGCAAGGGCATGGTACCCTCTCAGCAGGTAGCCGAGGGAATTTCCCAGTCCGGGAAAACAGATTCCCACTTCTGGCATCAATGATGGCTTTTCAGGTTTTGCAGTGCACTCCTCCCCACCCCCCAGTCTTGGGAATCTCGCCTTGTAGGGTGGAGCCTTAGAATGACTCTCCCAGGGCAGGAATTTCAAAAGGGGCTCCTGTTTTTTTTTAAAAATAGATGCTTTTTTTTTTCATTTGAAAATTCAGATGCGGTCAAATTTTTTTCTGTATGGAGTTTATAAACAATTGGATGTTGGCATTATTAACGCTAGATAAACTGACCTGTGGCTCTCTCTCTCCCCCCTCAAAACCTGAGTCTGAAGTGAGTGAAAATGAGCCGTCATGCAGAGTTGCTAATGCTCCATTAACATGCTTAATCATTGCTATTACCAAGGAAAATTATTCTGTGAATTACGCTAACATCAACACATCAGAGAAATCAACGGGCAATGGCTTTGACACGAAGGTAACAGCTATTCCACTTCCATCTTCTTGTTACAACCACCAGGAAGGTCCAGTAAATCGTGAAAATATTTTTCTTTCTGGCAACTCAAACCAGCATCTTGGTCTGAACTATCAGCCCCTCGAGCATGCAGACAGGAAGGGGAGTCTCTCCAAATAACATAGCTCTCTACAGATGTGACCCCCAAATACTGAGCCCCTCAGTATTTTTTGCAATCCTCCCCCCTTCCCCCCAGCCCTAGCTCCAAGTTACCAACTTGCCTTGTTGCACTAATCTGATTGAAGCAGACAGGAGGAGGTCAGCGCATGACTGTCTGTGGCAAGGACCGTGCTGGCTGGGCCAGCACATACCACGCTTCCCTCTTCCTCCAGCTTCCATTTCAGTCACGCTCCGCAGCTCAGCAAGGTTCACATCACAATCAACCCAGTCTTTACATGCACACTCGTCGTCTGCTTTTGAAAAAGATTCCTTTGTGGTTTTGGCTCCTGGGATCAATTCCCTTTCCTGTTCATTGCGCAAACCCCAGAGCTGGAGAACAGGAAGGTTGGGGGCAGTCGACGAGAGAAACAGTGAAACTGCACTGGGAAAACAGAGGCCCTATGTTTGGGCTTGCTTTCCCCAAGCCTCCTGCTGCAGACAGCCATCACACTTCGTCGCTAAGAAAATGACCGAATTTCAAGGAAACACACTTTGGAATATAGCTTGGCATTAAGCAGAGGCCTCGAAAGAATGGAATCAGAGCTAGCCAAAGAAACGCCTGGGGGGTGATGCGACCCCAGGCCCACTCCCTAACCCACAGATCCCAGGATGCAGGATGTGGCCCAGCCACAGGGACTGGGCAGAGACACCTATCCAAGGACACTTCTAAGCTCCTTAAGAAGACAAAGGTGGACCACTTGCTGCACAGTAATGACATTTCCAGAGTATTTTCAGCTGAAAGGAAATGCCAGGCTGGTCTAGATTCTGGAACCAGTTATCAAGCCTTCCCCGAAAGTATGTGTGTAGGGGGGTAACTTCTACTGCACCCCAATAGCAGTTGGGAGGAGGGTTCTTGCAGCACCCGGGAAACTCTACTTCCTGGGCCCTGTCCATGGTGCTGAAACCGCCTCAGCGGTGCAAAGGGGCAGAGTGGCACCTCTCGGTTCACCCAGGCCCTGACCCAGGCCCCAGAGCAGATTTCCACCTGTTTTAGCCAGCGCCATGGCTACCTGCCTTAGGAAAGCCAAAAGCCTGGAAAAAGATCCGCCCATGGCCGGAAATCTGTAAAATTGGAGGGGAAAGACGAGCCAGGACAGAGGTGGGCTGGAAAGCCGGCCTCCTTGGCGCACTCACCTCTCCGTCTCGCTCTCATCGCTCGACTGCACTTCTTCCAAAGCCACCTGCAGGTCCGCAATGCGCCGGATCGAGGTTTCCAGGTCTGCCTGCAAAGTCTGCCGTACCGCCGAGAGCTCGTCCACTTGCTTCTCCTGAGGAAAGGGGAGTGGGTTTCAGGGCGGCCGGAGGCCAGGCAGGTAGGCTGACTCCCACTCAGAACAAGGCTGTGGGGCCTTTGCATCTATTTCATTGATTAACGCAGAGAGACAACGCAGAGAGACAACGTTTGACTCTCGGCCAGGTTCACACAACACCCTTAACTAGGTTACTGCATTCACCCATTTTCTGAGTTTAACCCAACGCTGACCATAAATGAACCAAAACGGCTGGTTTGTACAAGCGCTGAAGGTCTGCTCTGCCCTGGAGCAGCAGCACCCCGGCCGGTTGTCTTTCCAGCCCCCGCTGGCAAGCTTTCCTTGGAAAGCAGCTCTCTGGATCTCTGATCGTCCTGCATTTGCAACAGCCGAATCTCAAGTTTTTATCCTTAGAAAATGGGTTTGGCCACTTCCTCCCCCCCCCAAAAGAGTGGTGAACGTCGCCAGCGTTGCAGAGCCCCGCGATTCCACTTGACTGAGGCTGCCAGCAATGACATGATCACCACGGAGGTGACAAGGAGAGCAAGGCGCCCACACAACCCTGCAGCTCCTGAGAGTAAATCCAAGAAGGCCCAAGGCTGGAGGGCTGGATGAGCCGAAAGAAAACAGGACTGTGGCTTAAAAAAAAAATAGTACAAGAAATGTAGTGTGTGCAAGAGGAAACACTCAGCTCCGAAGGACGCCTTTCGGTTGGAGAACAGCCCAGCAACGCTCCCAATGTGGGAGGGAGGGCAGGAGCACCGAGCAGTGAGCTTCCTTCGGCCGAAAGGCAAATGCCACCACCAGGCCGCACAGAAAGCCAGTGGCCCTCTCGCCCTGGAAGCAAAAATGGAGGTAGCACAGACGGCCAGAAACGTCCCCCCCTCGGCCCTTTCCTGCCTCAGAGAAGGCAGCTTTGCAGGAGAACAGGCTGAACCCAGGACGGGAAGAAACCGAAATCTGTGGCCCCGACGGTTTGCTCAGGGCTGCCTCTTTAGCAGCACGGAGGAGAGCGGCCGGGCCCAAGACGAGGAAGGCCGTGGGGTGGTCAAGAAGAGAGCAAGAGGGCTGCCTCCTCCTTGGAGGCCAGAGCGGGGAGGGAGGCGCCGCGTGGCCTGCCGTCTGGAGGAAGGGGCCGGGAGCCTCCCCCCGGGGCAAAAGCAGGACCCCGGAAGAGCGCCTGCCCCTTCTGTGGTGGCTGGAAGCGCTGGTTGTGGAAGAGCTCTTTAAAGCTGACCCCGTGCGGAAGGGCCGCCTCGCTTACACCAACAGATGCAAACAAGCATGGAAAGATGGCCTCTTCCAGGGAGACCAGCCCAGGGCTCCCCAGGCAGCAGGAGCCATACTTGGACATTTGGAGGGGGGAAATCAAGAAGGCAAACAGACTATTGATCCTAAAGACGCTTGGCCGATAGCAGCCCCCATGAAAACAATTTCCTCACTCCCCGTCTTCCGGGAGCGGAAATTCAAATCTCAGTCCTTCTGCCGGCCAACAGCCGTGGGGCAAAATCCCTTGGCCTGGTTCAGAAATGTCACCCCGCCTGCTCTCCTAACCGGGGGCCGGCGACTGGCGGAAAGGCAGAATTCTCCAGTGCCAGCCCCAGCCGTGCCATCGCTGCCCTCTCTGCTCTTGGCTCGGAGCTCGCTCTCCTTTCTCCCTGCGGTGTCCCTGCTTTCGGAAGGGCGAGCTACAGCCTTCCCAAGCCGTCTCAGGCCCTTGCAAGCAAAGCGGGTGGGAGCAGCATTGGCTGAACCACCGAGGCGTAAACAGGGGGGAGGCCCTGTAGCCGGGACCTAGAAGCAAAGGCCAGCGCTGCGTGGTCTCGCCCTCAAGGGAAAAGGGCCGGGTCTCGCTAGCAGCCTGCGCAACAGCTGGCAGGGACCCAGAGGTCACGCTTGGCGTCAGGCCAGAGCTGGACTCTGGAGCAGACCTGCAAGAAAAGGGGGCAATGGTACAGCCCCCCCATGGATGAAGAGGATTTGTCTGGGTCAGCTTAGCTACGCCCCACCCAGGCCAAACAAGGAATCGGGATGACCACAACAGCAAGGGTTTCACTCTGACCAGCCCGGCGTGGCCGAGGGGGACGGCTCCTCCTTTCCAGCCAGCAGGAGGCCAGGGTTGGCCCTGGGCCTTCCAGATGCTTTGGACCAGCTGTGACTCCAACCTACCAGACATGGGGAAGGTGGCCTGAGCAGCATCTCTGGGCCCCGAACTTTGGGGCCGCTTGGTCTTGAAGCCCCCTGTGCTGGGTGCAACCCCAAGCACAAAACACCCCGCGCAGATGACAGGAGGGTTAAAACAGGCATTCCTCCCCCTCACTGCACCCCACAGGGGCTCCAGGAGGCGAGAAGGGCAGCCCCCGCGAAGAATAAAACCCTGCGCGTGAGCTGTTTCCAGGAACGGGGGGGGCGAACCAGCCATCGGGTATTCTCCTTCTGACTTATTCTTCTCACGTCACAAACGGAAGTCGTTGTGGTGGAAGTGGCGGTGTGCGCGGTTAGGGGCTTGGGGTCGGTTCTGAAAAGGAGCAGCCACCCTTCCCGGAGGCGGCTTCGTATTCAGAAGGCGGGCAGAGCCAGGCTTGTTTCCTCCAGGTGGTTTGGAAACTCGGCATGCTACATGCGAAGGCGGTCATTGTGCGAATGAGAGATATTTTAATGCCACAGCAGCGAGATATCTGCGTGTGATGACAGGGAGATGGGGCGAGGGGGCTGGCATAATTGCACACTCCTAAAGATATAGTTCTCTCTCCCTCTCTTGCTTTACCCTTTGCTATTTTAAGTATACCTTGCAATCTTCAAGCCTGCTCAGCCCGAAGAATCCCTCTGGAAGGCTGAGGGTGGCCTGAGAGCTTTCATCAGAGACGGCACTTCCCCTCGCCCGCTTTATCCTCCCAGCAATCTTGTGAGGTAGGCCAGTTTAAGATTTTCAGGGAGCTTCCTGGCAAATGGAGTGAGAATTCCACCCGCTCTCAGATTCCTTACTGTTTTTTATTCTTTTAAAATAAATGCAATGCTGCCCTTCGCTTTTTAAAAAAATCCAAAGTTATTCAAAGGCAGTAATCTTAAACTGTCTCCTGTTTCTTATCTTCTTCCAAAGACAATGAGACTTTCATCACAACTTACTGAATAATACACTATCCTTTTTGTGCAAAACTGAGAAAAACCTGCTCCAGGCCCCCTTCTCTCCATTCGCTCGCACGCACGCACGGACCCTTTCAGGAGTGACTCTGGATTAAGTGGCGCTCCGGTTCAACCCCACTTCTCCTTCCAAGAGCAGCAGAAAGGACAGGGAAGCTAAAGAGAAGGGGGCCCTCCAGCCCCGGGGCTCTCCGTCAGGCACTGCTCATTCTTCCCCTCTGCAGGAGCGAGGGGGTCTCCTGCCTCCCTTTCAAGGACGCAGTCTTCCCAAAAGGCCCCCCCCCCGATGGTTGCACCTCACTCATGGGCAGTGGCAGGACAGACAGCAGGGAGCAGGCCGAGGAGAACCGGATTCGGAGGGCGGCCAGCAGCCCCAGCCCGGAGGAGCCGGAGCGGCACCAGTCAACACAGTCCGCCTGCTTATTTCTGTGTCCATTACGAAGACTTCTGGCTCAGCGGACGTGGCGCGAAGCAAGGCTGCTGGCACCTCTGATTGGTGGCGAAACCCTCTCTTCTCCTGTTCTTGGCGCAAAAGCCCCCAACGGCTCCACGCAGCCATTGTTGCCAAGGAAAATGGACTTTCTCTCCTTACGGAGGATGGACGGGGGGCGGGGAACGCAACCAGGCACATCTGAGCAGTGAGCGGCTGCCTTTCTGATGACGGCTGAGGCTCGGACAGGATTGCCAGGCTCCTGCTATTAGTGCCCCCGCATCGACAGCGCTTGCCCAGCCTGGCTAGGAAGGCTTCTCTGCCTTCGTTTCTCTTGGTGACAAACCCAACGGCGTTTCAATTCCTGCACTGATGCGGACACACTTCCACAGGTACGGGGGAACCACTCGGACCCGTGCTTCTGTTGGAAAAGGGCCTCATCCTTTGCAGAGCCCTGTGGCACCTTTCACACGTTTATGACTTACGTTTGCATCAGCAGCATGGGAGACTGACCTCCAGGTGGTGCATTTTACACACACACACACACACACACACACAGAGCTGTTGCCTGGGGAGGGTCAGAAGAAGAAAGGCGAGACACAAAGATGACCTGCCCATCACAAAGAGGTCGTCAGGTGTGATCACAGACATCCTGCTGCTAGTGCGCAGGGTGGAGGCCCCAGGCGAGCACGGTTCATGCACTGCCTAATCCCCGTGAAGCTACATTTCTTAGCCTTTCCGTGCCGCAAGACCCCCGTCCCCAGGCGGGGATACTCCCCCAACCCAAGGCCTTTCTTTCTTCCTGTTCTGCAGCTCCCTCGAAGGGAACCGGTGGAAACAAAGACAGGGATGGGGCGAGCTCAGAGGCTCACCCCGGGAACCAGCACCCCAGCTCCCAAGGCCGGAAAGCCCCCTGCCTGCTCGGAGCTCCCGGGGCAAACGGTCCGCTCCCCGGGCAAGGCGCTGTCAAGGCCGAGGTAGATTTCTCTCCACCGGACATGGAAGGCCCCTACCTGACGCTCGGGTCTCCAGGGCCACCCCTCACTCCTGGGAAATGGCTAGTCACAAAAGCAGGGAGACCAAACCTCCCTCCTTAACAAAGGAGTGCAGAGCAACGCTGAAGAGAAACATGCTTCCTTTCACAAAGGAGACATGACAGCATCATTGTTTTCACTTACACACAAATTATTTCATTGACATTGTCTCTGGGGAAACAGGATTTTTCATAACGGCGCTCCCAAACCTCGGGAGCAAGATGACTAGGTTTGTGTCTTACATAAAAATGCTTCAACAGTCCCATCTACAATTCAAATTTTAAAAAAAAATCAATTCTGTTGGTGCGCTGATCAAGCCCTCCTAGTCAAACTTAAGCAGTCAAAGAGGAGGCTGGAAATGATTTTGCAGCAGCCAAAGGAGAAGGAAAGCCAACAGCTACCAAAATGGACATCAGATGAGAAGCCCTATTTCTACGGCCAACCTCCCTATAGAAATAACCATAAAACAGCAAAGGGAAAAAATGCCCCAAGAAATGGCACCCAACCTAATGGATTAGGAAAACCTCCCCAGGGCTCCCCGCAGGATTTTTCGCTCATGTTCTCCTCCACTCCAATGGCACATTTGCTCACCTTCCACTCTTGGCACCATCTCACAGCACTATTTGCAGGCAGCCCATTAACACACATCCCTTCAGCGCTGCCGCGAAGTGGAGTCGTGCCTGCTCGATTCGGGCTAGCTGCTGCCAACAGAAACTGCCATCCAGATCCCCTCCTGAACCCAGCGTGAATTGGAGTTAGTCCATCCAACTGAGGAGCTTTGCTCCTCCTCAAGCAAGACATTGTGCAGGCTGGATTACACCTGCCCGTTTCTCACAAATCAGCCCTGAGCTGCAGCCACGCGTGAGCCGAAAATCAAAGCCAATTCAGAGAAACCTCCAACCAGCCGCCGCCCAACTTTCTTTCAAGAACAACTGTGCCTAGCCAGAGATCTGTCCTCAGCAGCCGAGTCTGCCCACAGCCTCCCTTCCTACGGATTCGACTGATTTTAATGGTTCAAATTCATTTTATTTCTGCCACTGAGCGTACTGGGGCTTCTCTCTCTCAGTCTCTATCTTTCTCTACTTGTGAAATGAGAAAGCGCCCGATCCTTTTAAAGGCTCAGGTGAGATGGAGAGG